GAAGTCTTCACATTGCTAGCTGGAGAACCCAGCCTTCCAGGTATCCCTACCAAGGTCCCAGACCTTGGAGTAAAGTCAAACCCTACAGACCATCTGCCTGCTGTATACCACAGAAGAGGCTCAATCCACACCACAGGCAGCAGAAGAATTGCCCAGCTGAACCCTGGCCCATTCCCTGACCCACAAAATCACTGGTTCTAATAAAATGGTGGTTCCTTTAAGCTGCTAAGTTTAGGGTGATTTGCTGACACAGCAACAGATGACCAGGGTATCATGTGATAGGCAGTAGCTCCAGGTGAAAGGAGTAAACTTTCCCTCCCCATCAACCTCAGGTTGGGACGTGACTTGCTTTGGCCAGTGGTATCCAAGTAGACAAGTCATATGGCAGGTGCATGCCAAAACCTATCCGCGTTTCCTGCAGCAATTTTGCTTTGCATTCTGCCATGAGAATGGCATGTCCCTGACAGGGCTGCCCCTTGCGTCTGGGTTCTGCAGCATGTAGCCATGTGGAGCAGATGTCTGACAACATATAACATAGGCAACAAATAAACTCTTGCTGTTACAAGCCATCCAGGGCCTGTTCACTCCCGCAGTCACACTTAGAATCTAATACACTGCATAGCTGTTTTTTCTCTCCCCTTTTATCAGTATTAGGAAAACCCATTTCCCATGACGGAATCTGAAAATGTCAGATATTCATTTGTTCAGCCTCCCTCACAGCTAGAGGTGTTCTTGTTCTGACCAGTGACAAGTGATGGGTAGTCAGTGATGGGAGTATACTTCTGGAAAAGATTGTCCTCAATGACCAGGAGAGGGATATGAAAGGAGTTACCTTTAGCTGCCTTGGCCATCCACTCAGACACCTATTCTTGACACTGTTCCCATAAGGATGTGATGGCTACAGCCACAGCAGCCATCTTGTAAACATGAGGCAACAAACTGGAGAAGTAAAAGCCAATATACTGAGGAATGAAAGGATAAAAGATCTTTGATCCTTGATAAAATCGTTGAACCCCTCAACAATCTAGGACTGTCTACCACCAAAAACATCTTATAATGTGAGAGAATTGTCTTAGTTGTTTAAGCCACTGTTAGTTGGGAATTCTGTTATTTGTAGCCCCAAAAACCCAACTCGTATATAGATTTTTGTTGGTTTTGTAACTGCATTCTGATTTTCCTTTAGGAGATCAACAGACTACAACACACACACACACACACACACACACACACACACGCTGCATTTGGTCCAGGTGAGATTGCACTCTCCAGTTCCTGGGGTGAGCACATGACCAGGTCTGGCGAATCAGAGTGGACCATCCACCTGGCTATAGTGAGTAAGCTGAAGATCTCTTCTGGGACATTGGGCCGAACTGTCAGGGAAGAGAGGCTCTCTCTTCATTGGGATTGCCGCTTAGGAATTAAAGCAACACTGAGGAGAGCAGAGTTGAGAATGGAAAGACTAATTTCTGATGGTATTATTGAGCTTTTGAGACTCTCCTTTGTCTGGTCTATCTACCTTTGGACTTTTCTTTCAGTTATGTGAACCAATAAATTCCTATTCTTTCATAAACCGGTTAACAATGGGAAGAATCCTGACTGATACAGACCAGAGTCCTAGTTTACATACGGGGCCAAAGGGCCTCAGCTGAAGTAAAGCAGGGTTTGGAGGGGAGGGTGCTGGGGAGGGCAGCAAGCTATGGAAGGACAAGATGTGACAACTCCACGAGGTGGCTGCTCGCGTCTGTCTCACAGATAACAGAGGCACTGAAGAGCAAAGCGACTTACCCAAGGTCGTACAGTGAGTAATTAGAAGGGCGCAGATTTAATCGCAGACCTAATAAAACTCCAAAACCCAAGCCATTCCTACTGAGCCACACTGATTTGCAGGGTAGGTCTTTAACCAGAAACCAAGCCCGTATATTGCCTCTCAGCCATCAAGAGAGTTTTATTGGTGTTGGCTGGGTGGGGCTGAGGACAACCCAGAGTTTCCTTGTATTTGAGAGTCATGTTCAAGATTCTTTTCTTAACTGTCTTCCTGATCAGTTAAGAAGAGGCAATGGTAGCCATAATTAGATCTATCCAACATGACTACCTAGGTCCTTCTACTTGCTTCCCTTCCCAGGGCTCCCTACACACCGTCTCCCGTTCAGTCACCTTGGTGAGGAAAGGAGCTCCCTCAGGAACTCCCATCTTTTCTTCAGGATATGTAGATGGTACAGGGGTCTGGAAAATTCCAGGTCAGCTAAACCCCTTCAAAGTATCCCCGGTGGCATCAGCTGGGACAGGTCCAGTGCCTGCCCCACACCCCTCAAGTGAGGATCCCAAGCACAAGCCTAGAGCTGCCTCCAGCCCTCCCAGAGGACTCTGCCAGCAGAAAGCTGTTGCTCGTAACATCTCCAGCTCTATAATGAATCATCCATCATAACGCCCTGCTACTTTTCCCTGGACTTGACCTTGTGAGTTGACTCCATTTCCATGGCCAACCTCTTACCAAACCCAATCTGACCAGCAGCCAGCCTGAGGACCAGGGTATCTAGCTCACTGTTGGCTGCCTCGAATCTGTCCCGGCAGGAGGCAAGCTCTTCCCAGGATTTCTTGGTCATGGTGCCCTTCAGCGGAGGGGGTTCCCACAGTGTAGGGAACACACAACTCATGTACACAGGATGATGTCTGGTAGTAACCTCTCAGCTTTATTTTTTTTT